AATAATATTACCATCGAATACTGATCGTGTATAGGCCGTTTAGAACAAGGTGCCTGCGCAGGTTATTTTATCTGTGGTTGTGGTACCTGTTTAATATAGAAAGTCTGATAAAAGCTTATAGAGTTTGATTGATGTATTGTTCAGTAAGTTACAAACTACGAACCATTCCAAAAAATAGAATATAAATGCTCGTGACACAATTCAAACCAAATGTATATACCTATGTACTACCCATAAATATATAGTAATTATATTTATATACAAAAGTCAAAAACATAATATGCTATGCTATAGTACCCATCTCCTTATCTCGGCCGGGTTAGTGGGCTTGGGTATTGATAAGGATTACTTTAAATTGGCATAGTAATTATATAATATAAATTGTACCCATAGATAATATTCTTTTATTATCTATGATTGTACCCATAGCACTCACGACTCGACATGTCGACATGATTATGATGTTATAATAGAATAGATAGTAGACAGTTGTAAGTTGTAGTTACTCTTATTATTTAGTAGTTTAGTACATAATAATAATTACAATATTGGATATTGTTGTTTTACATTCAAAAAATAAAACGTGTACATTTGAAATTATTAATTATTTTATTGTTCAATTGAATATTTTTTGAGTGTTTGTCGTGTGTGTGTGTATACGAATGAAGTTATTGATATTGTGTTGAAATTGTCAAACTCCTTAAATCAAGTATGACAAAAGTGGTTTAGATTTAAACTTACAGTTATTATCAATTTACAATTATTTTAAATTTCACATTTAAGTACTAATTCAATTTTTTAATAGGTGGTCTGATATTCACCTACCTCATTATGGCAAAAATAAAAGCTGGTGTGCATGAGCACATAGGTATTGGTCAGCTGCCTAGATACACTAGATCTATTCGTGTATATTTAAATAGCGATATTACAGAATGTATGGAACCCATTAACATTTGGAGTTATAACTTAAGTGTTATTAAAGAGCAAAAAGAAGAAGAAGAAAAAATATTTCAAAAGTACCTAATTATTTTTATTAATATATAATTTTACTGTATGTTAAAAAATATATTATTACAATTTTTTTATGGTCTTAAGGGTAAAACAAATTGATAAAAATTAAGGATTCAAAATTTAATGAGCGAACARTTTATATATTATTCTACTTGATATATAGTAGTAATTTGTATTTTCCAATTATGTTAGTATACATAATTGGATTATATACTTTACTTATATACTTTACTCTATACTTTTAACAAAAATGATTGCCTTGAAAGTTTCAAATGACACCATTTATAAATTAAATCTTATGGATATTTTGATGACTACAGTTTGTCTGCTTTTTTTTAAGCATAAGGAAAAATAATTTAGAACTGTATACTGTTTTGAAGTAATGTTAAAAAGTGTAAATTTAACCAAACTGCTCAGAATAATATTTTATATTTTAATATTAATGATTTTGATAACTCAACATGCCACAACTTTGCTGTGATATGAACAGCGCAAAATAAATAATATAAGTCTCAGTATTCTATTAGGTTATTTTATAGATTAGCTTTTAGACTTTCTATAAATTAAAGATATTTGGTGTTATTAGATTGTAAATGACTATTCATTGAAATTAATTTAGGTTTCATTTCTAGGTGCCTTACTTTTACTGAACTTTGTAATGTTATTAATGATACTCAAAATGATATTATTTTGAAGAATTTGAATACACTGTATGGAATAGCACATGAACTTTGTAAGCATTAATTTTTAAAAGAATTTAGTTTTAATATTTCATTTTAGATTCTTATAAATCATAATCAAAATTATTTTTTTTTTTTTTGAATATTATCTTCTTTTAACATTTTCATATATATTTAAACAATACCTCATTTTTCACTTCTTTAATGTAATTTTATTTTAGCAAAAGATGAACAACCAGAAATATTAAGTTCATCAGTGTTATTTTTCTTCAAGTTATTTATCGGTGTTTCTGGACTATTAATGAAACATATTTTAGAACTTAAAAGTATGTTTGGAAAAGTATCAAATAATAATGCAGATCAAATATTCAAGGTAATTTATGATTTATAAGTTAGTTTATTTTATGTGAGTTAAAATGTCATTTAAATTTCAGTTGGTTAAAGAAATAGAACAGTTAATGAATGATAAAAGTTTGAAAAAATTAAAAATACTTTGGGAGAAACTTGATGATCATAAAGCTGTTAATGAAGAAAATCAAAACAAAGCTCAGAGTCCTTTAGTTAATGGTATATTACGTTATAAACCAAACTCCAAATGGGTACCTCCAAATTTTGCTAAATTACCTGTTTGTGACTATGATTCAAAGACATCTAAGTTATTCTCCATGGCTTATGAGGAAAAAAGAATAAATAACTCTTCAAATGTAAATTGGTTTTTTTTTTTTATATCTTATAATAACTTGTTAAATATATCGGTAGGTATTCATATTAACATGAATTTCATCAGCTCTATATTTTATTTTATTAAATTATCACTTTCAATGAGATAATTTGTAGATCAGTTTTTTTCTTTTTTTTTAGTTTGGTAGAGCTTGGCTATTGAAACAGATTAATAAGACCTCATCAATAGATTTAGGCGTTTCAGATGAAGATTATTATTCTAATATCATAGATCTACTTTCAACTCAAAAATCTGATRCAGAACTTCAAGATGAAGTAAGCATTTAAATGTTTATAGATTATAAATGTAGAATGTAATTAGTAAAATGCTGATAAAATACTTTAAATGAAGCTTAAATACTTTTAATTCCTCAAGTATGTTTCATAAGATGATCAGAGTATAATAGACCAATAAAATAGGATAATAACAATATTAGCATTCGCTTAAGATCTAAACTATAGCATTAAAATATAAAACATTTTTTGAACATACTTATTGTAAGACATTTAATTGTATTAAATTTATTTTAAACCCCTAAATATGTCCCTCTAATATGAATTCACAATACTTTTATGTTACATTAAATTTGCATTGATGAAAACACATTAAATTCAATGGTTAAATTAGCTTATAATGTTACAATTATAATTTACAAAAACCGATCTTAAAGTTAAAAATTTATTTTTAAACAAAAATCAACTAATTTTTTTAAATAAATGTAATAATAGTTTTTTTTTTTAAATGGTTAAGCTTTAAGCTTTAATTTTTTTTTTGGTAATAGTATCAGTATCTTCTAAATCTAAACTTTTACGTTTATTGACATTTTTTGTTTCTTCAAGTTCTTCATCTGATTGTTCCTTATTAATTGACTCACTAGGTAAATTTTTCTCATCTAATTCATCACTGCTGCTATCTGTATCCAAATCGGAATCATAATATCCCTTGGGTTTAATTTTTTTCTTAGTTGGAATTTCAGATGTACCTGCTTTGAAACCGCACTCTATTGCATTGGAAACGGATTCTGTCATTTCAGACATATGCTTTTCATATTGTTCATCTTTAAATTCTGTTTTGGGTACTTGACATAGACGTTGTAATTTGCGTTTTTTGCGCTCTTCAGGATCTTCTGTATTAGGACCTCCTTTGGCTAAAAAGTCTTTTACTCGTTTTTCTTCATTGATATCACGTAACCGACGACCACTTAAATCTCTACAAGCTTCACGATTTGTTGTTTTTTCAATTTGTGCACCAATTGCTCGAAGCATTGAACCAAACCCACCTTTGCCTCCCATTATCCGAGGTACAATATGTACATTACCATTTTGAACAMCATTTTCATTTAAAATTTTACCGTTAAACAACAAGTAAAAATCCTTCGGTGACATACCCGTTTGACTGCTAGCAAATTGTTTTATATCAGGCACTGACATTTCAGATGTAACATGAAATGTGAATTTCTCCATATTCATATCCATTTTTACTAGAGACTTCACTCGACACAAATGTATTTTTAAACAACCAACTTTTTAGTTACAATTTCTGATTACAAATCATAGTTCATTAAAATAAACAAATCACAAAACTGAAATATTCAAAAAGCACTGGACACTTGTACCTAATCTTGTTAAAATAATAAAAACTTATTAAATTCGTGCAAATATAACTCTGTATTTATTCACAAAACTATAATTTAAAAGTAATATTTATTATTTCGCGCAGCCCTATAGTTAACACCAACAAGATGATCAAATATGTTACAACTATGAACTCTGTATACTATTATCTGTGATAATAATATTATGTTTATTGTGACATTATCTTTTATGGATTTCATATTTCTGCTATAATAATTGATAAAAATCAGTGCAGACAACTCACTGTCGGTRTAATAAAATATTAATTTTTTAAAACGCCATGTTTAAGCACACAGATTCGTCATAGAGGGTTCGTGTCTTATTCACGCCACAGAAGATATATATAAATATTTAATTTAATTTAAAAATATTTAATATTATATATATCTGTGATTCGCGCACGAATTGGATAAGACCAGTGTCGGATTTACTATACTCCGTGCCACGAGAGAAGGAACCCGTGTCCCGACCAAATAGCAACCGACTCCGCGCATCCCCCACTTATTTGACATATCGAAAGCGCGAACTGTAGAGGATAAAGTGGGGGAAATAGAGCTTAGTAACGCTAGCTGCCGTCAGTCTGCATGCGCGAAACGGGTT